AATGGGAGGAGCTATTTCACTTTTTAGCAATTAAGACAAAGATATACATTAAAGAATCCCTTTTTTAGCAAAATACTGCTAATAGCAGCGGAGGGGCATTATATCTTGAAAATATTGATAACTGTATAATTTAATTTGATACGATGACTATGATTAAGAATAATAAAGCATTAATAGGAGGTGGATTAAGAATCGTTTAGACAAATTAAAAAAAGCTTTTATTGCCTTAAAATTTTCCATTCTCCAACAATATTTTCGAAAATAAAGCAGAGATTTATGGTGATGATAGTACATCTTATCTCTAAAATATAATTATTAAAAACAATGATAATACAAATGAAGAATCGTTCACATTTTACTAAAATTAAAGTAGTGTACCTAAAAAATTTTAGAATGACTATTCAAGATATGCTGAATTGAGATAATTCAGAAGTGGAGGGCTAATTAACTTTAAAATGTATATTGTAGATGAATAAAATAGATATCTGAGCTTCTCAAATGAAAAGCTAATACTAGGCTTATATCCAAAAGATATAGATTAAGAGTTAAATACTATTTAAATTTCAATTTATTAGCTCAATTCTACTGAAAGCTAAATGTTTGGATAGAATACTATAAATTACTTTCAATATAATTCTCTCGACTATTCATTTGAAATGAATGAAATAACAGTTATTGGAAATCTTAATAAAGTTCAATTCTTTTATATTAATTCAACTATATAAACAAACTCACTTACTAAATAACCAATCCTTTTATCGATAGAATTCAGAAATTGTAAATTAGGAGAGGTCATTTAATAAGTGAATAATAACATTTTTTAATGCAATTAATGCTTGAAGGGTACTTATCAGCTAGTAGACCCATAAACACTTTATCAGTAATCTATTTAACAAAATAAAGATATCAATAAATGCATCAATTGCCCATAGTCTGCTTTAATGTGCAAAGGAGATATAATAGAATTAAAAAATGGTTTTTGGAGGCACAATAATTACACAGATGAAATAATAGAGTGTGATCCTATTATAAATTCATGCTAGGCAGAAAACCCTAATAGCATCAATTACTGTAAAGCTGGGTATCTAGGACCTATTTGCCTATAGTGTGATATTTTAGGTGAAGTTTGGTAAGGCTACCGATATTCACAATCTCTCTCAAAAGGATTTTGTGATATTTGTGGATCATAACTTAAATAATGGGGTTTTATGCTTTTAAAAATTGTAATTTTAGAGGCCTACTTCTTGTATGCTTTGGGAGTTTTCATCCAAAAATTTAAACATTCACAAACATGTTATTATTTGAGAATGTTAAAAATTATGCCAATAAGCAGTAATAGCATAAATGACTATTCTGGATTCTATATTAAAATTATATTGACCTATTATTAATTATCTGCTCTTTTAATTCCTCAGCCCAAGATTATTTCTGTCCATTTTAATTTGTTTAATGATGTAATTGGATCCGGTGGTATCCAAGTCTCCTTAGGAATTGACTGTCTTATGAGTGAAAATATCATTAGAGGAATAGGCAAGATACTCTATTTTATGTTAACTTAGTTTTTCGTCCCTATGGTTTTTCTTCTTTTTATTCCTATTACACTTATGTTTTATTAAGACATTTCAAAATAGAAAATAAGAAAATATCACATTTATTTAATTTTTCATATTATTTTTGTCTTTTTCTAAGTGAACTAGATATCATATTTTATTTAATCACTAACCTGTAAACAAGTAGGAAACAAACTTTATAACTCATTAGACCTTTCATTTGACTGCTATGATTCTAATGTAATTAAATATTTATATCCTTTTTCTGTAATGGTGTTAATTTTTTGGACTCTTCTTCCTTTAGCATTTCTAAAACTGATTAATTTAAACAAGAAAAAATTAAATTAATGTCTGACGAAATATAAATATGGCTATTACTATGCAGAACTAAAGGATAAGTACTACTATTGGGAATTTGTTAGAATATATCTAAAAATTACAATAATCTATGTGTATATTCTTTTAAATAATAATAATAACCAAGAAGTTGCTATAGTGACAATAAGTGTAGTCTTATTTTTTTATATAAAGATAGTTTCACAAAATAATCCTTTTATTTCAATAAACATACAATAATGCGAAAAAGCAGCTTACTCTCTTATATTTTTGAAAATATATTTAAGACTTATATAAATTTAAAATCCATCAGCTCAAATCTTGGTAGAAATTTCTCAAATAATAGTAGATTATTTCTTCTTTTTTTGCTATTTGATAATTGTATTAGGAATAATTATTAGCAACTCGACTTCTAAATATGTAATTATTTTTAAAAAGTGTCTCTCAAAAATTATGCCTTAAAAATTAAAAAAAATGATCAATTTTAATAAAGTTTCATTTAAAACATATTTGAAATGGAAGCACGTTTTAAAAAAATTTAAAAAATCTTATTATTTATTTTAAAAAACTATAAAATAATAAGTAAAACATAATAAATAATTAAAACAAACAAAAATTGATTTTAAAAAAGTAAATTAAAATAATGCCCTAACAATTCTAGATGATAAAAATATGTATTTGTCCTGTCAAAGTTACAAGAATTCTCAGTAATTACTCTTAAAAGACTATGCTAAATAACCAAAAATATGATATTAGGAGCACAGACCCAGAATTAAATTAACGACCCTAATTTCAGCTCTTTAATTTCTCGTTTGCAAATCAATTTACCTTTAACCTCTGTCAGCTTCTTGGCCCCCGCCCCGGTGACTATATATATATAATTGCATTATTTAAGTATATACTTGCTATTTTTTAGTGTATGAGTATGTTTGTTTCTATTATTTAAACTATTTATAATTAATTTTCATTTAAAATCAATTAAAATATTATGGTTTTTATATTTTTAATTTGAAACCTTATCATTTAATAACTAAAATAATTGAATTTGTAAGTTTTTTTCTTATTTAAAAATATAAATCATCTTAAAATACGAAGTTAGAAAAGAACTAAGGGAGGAAGAAATAAAGGAAGATAGGCATTTGAATGTTACTAAGATCAAACAAAGTTTATTTGCTTTTTAGAGATGGATTTATATTAATTTCTAGTAACATAAGAAATATTTCATTTAAAATATTTATAAAATGGGTTATGAATAGTTTTGAAAAATTATGATTTTTAGTATTCTTTTAAGTCTTTGTCTGCTTTTAAATTTCTTTTAAAAATTAACTTTAATTTAGTACCTTTAATTTTTTTCTTTTTCATTTGATGTCTTAACTTTCTTATAAATTCTTAAAACTATAGTTAATAGTAATTGAAATAATCATATTCATTAGTTTAGTTGCTTAACTTATTTTTTTATTTTTTTTTATTAATTTTTTACCTCACAAATTTATGACATAAGAATTACTAAACAAAGTAAGTTATAATATGTTACATTTAAATAAATAGTACTAAAATCAAAGTTAATCAATTTTTTATTCTTTATTACAGCTATAAAGAGAAAATAATAAGGGATAAAATTTCACACTACATGATAATACGATCAATTGCTAAAGCAAAATAGAAAAGTAGATATTTGTTCAATTTATAATTTTTCAACAAAATCAGTTAAAAAACTCATTAAACAGTTTGTATTTAATAGAAAATATTCAATTTGAGGATTTTAAGGCTAATATGGTCAAAAAGAAGCCATGCCTCCTAATTATTAGCCCTTCAAGTCTTTACTTGGAGGGCTACCTTTAACATATTTTTTTAATAGCTTTTAAACTAACTTTTAGTAATACCATAAAATGATAAAAATATTAACAAAAATACTTTCTACTACCCTACCCAAATTAGTATTTTTATTTATAAAGTACTTTTAAGTATTTATTTATTTTGTATCGCAGTTAGCATATTTGTCTTCCTTAAAATTTGGATAAATTTACTCTTTTATTTATTGCAATTATTTAAAATCTTGTTTCAAATAGTTCTACTTTAATAATTGTTTTTCTTGAAAGTAATATAATAATTAAAATAAAAAAATAGATAAAAGACAAATATTAAAAAAAACAAATTTTGAGAAATTTGGTTAAATAAGCTAAAAATTTATTATTGATCATAAATTAGTCAAAATAAGCAAACACTTCTAGTGAAATAAGGAATATTAACAAATAAATGTTAATTAAATTAGCAATTATAAAGAGTTATATTTTGCTTTTAGTTATCTAATTGATCGCTAAAGCATAAAATACATGTGTAGAAGGATGCTCAAGTTGTAGTAATAGTAATAACTAAAATATTTGTACTAAATGTTTAGAGGGTTACGAGCTTGATTCAAATAATAATCTTTGTGTATATACTAAATGTAATAGTAATTTATTTTATGATAGGAAAATGCATGACAATGGTAATAAAGATGGTGAGTGCGTAGCTATCTGCAGCCCTTTTAGCTATAAGAATTATTAAAATAATTTATGCTAAAGTAAACTACAGTGTTCTGTTTAAAAACCCTCATAGCTATTCATGAAAGATAATACTGTTACAAAAGACTTTTTTATATATAAAGATAATTATTATGTAATTTAAAAAGAAAACAATCTCTCTGTTTATGATAGAAATAACCTCAATCTAGTAAAAAGTAAGACCTTTGAAACAAAAGAATTATAAGCATTCAATCTAAATGGTATCATATTTTTCATAGGTAGAGATAATTCTATATCATATTGGGATATTATAAATGAATCAGTAAATTCAAAAACATACCTAAAAAATATATCCTTTAACTAATTCACAGAAATAGCTTCAATTAATAATCATTATACTCTGATTTATAATATTTACTCCTAACAAGAATCTGAATTTTAAATATTTTATGATTAACTTAATTAAGTTTTTTCTTAATCTAATTCTTTCAAATTAAATGTTAATGCACAAATAATCAAATTTATTGATTAATGGTTGTTTATACAAAATTCTACTAGTATTATTGTGTATAAGATAATTGTAACTAATAGCAATGATAGCTTAAATTTACAAATGTAAAATCATTTTACATTTAAATCTTAATAGAATAAGGACTATTTTGATATACTGTCAATATCTTAATTTGAAATCTATGTTTTAGTTTAAGATGATTCTGCTAGTTTAGTTAACTTAAATAATAATTCATTTTAACCTATTTAAATATAAATGGACAACTAATAAAAAATTCAAAAAGGTAGAATATTTTAAGCTTCAGATACTGATTTTAACACATATCTGATAATTAAAAGTTATGGATATTTGATATACACTAATCTACAAACAAATTCTTCAAATGTAATTTAAGAAATTGATTCTTTAACAGACTTTGAGGTGTGTGATTTTTTGGATAAAGAAAAGAAAATAGTTGTGCTTGACAAAAATATCAATTTGTCATTTTTTTACTTCGATTAAAATAAAAAATAATTTATTGAATCTATTTAAAAATTTGCTTTGAAGTATAATACAAATTATTTATATCTAGTCAAATACCAAAATTAAATTTCACCTAAAAAATAATTTATTTATGAGTTGGTTGGTATAAACAATGATCACATTTAAATAGTCAAAAAAAGTGATAGTTTGATATAGCATGAAAAATAATTAATTCAAATCAATTTAATTATCAATTTTAATTTCGCCTTTCCATCTGTTGATTATTCAATTGTTAGTAAAATAGTATTAAGTTACTAGCCGCCTATTGCCATTTAATTAAATTCATTTGGTGGTATTAATTTTTATGATTATTCATAAGAGACCAAATGTATTTTATAAAAATAATTATAAATATATAGTAGTTTTGGATAATCCATTCAAAAATTTTACAATGATAAAATAATCATTTATGATCATAATCAATAAAAAGGATATATAATTGACATTTATAAAAAAAAGATTTTGAACGTTTTTAAAGTTGAAAGCCAATAATACGCCACTAATAATGATATGTTAGCAATGATTTTTTAGGACTGTTTAATAATTCAGTCCTCTAACTTATAAAATTTGTTTAAAAATTGTTAAACTGATTTTATCAGCGAAAATATTAAAATCTACTTGAACAAAGATTAAAAAATTATGGCATATGATAAATATGAAGAAAAAGTTTCTGTATATTAAATAAATTTAAAAGATTAAAGCATTTAGCATCTAAACACAATAAATAGCATAACCTATTTCTAAGTAATAAAAAAATTTTATTCTTTGACGGATAAAATAAACAACAATTTTTCTCTTGAATAAATACTAACCATAGATGAAAATAATAATTTTAGAATTTACGACTTTAGCTTATCTTTGATGTATGAAATAAAATCCCTTATTATTACAGATGTTAAAAATATATATTTAGTGGTGGATGATTATGAAATGTATGCTTTAAAAGTATAAGAAGGGATACTTTTTATTAACATTTCAGATAGCACCTAAAGTTTAATAGAATTTGGATATTAACTTGGGAAAGCAGAATTTTAAAAAATAAACAAAAATGGGTAAACATATTACTGGGCTTACTCAATGCAATCTAATTAGATGTAAGAATATGCGTTTGACCTAGAAAAAAAAAATGTGATTTAAACAGGCTTTTATATCTTTAATTATGTAAGTTATTTATCAGTATATGCTTAGAACTTAAAAAGCACTACTTAAATGAGTACTTATTAAAATGATGATTTTGATATAGTCTTATCCTCTTATTTTTAAAAATATAAACTCTATCAATTTACACCTCCTATGCAACAATTATAATTGCTTTATAGTGAAAAACTTGGAAAATTATTTGTTATATTTGATAATAAATTAATATCTTTTGACATTTACACTGGTAAGCCAGAGATTTTATTTACTTTAGATAAAACAACTTATTACCTTCTTTCTATGTAATTATATGATGAATTCCTATTTTTCTAAAGTGACTGGGAAAATTGTTTTGTAATTCTGATTAATTTTTCCACAAATGAAAAATTTATTAAAAAATTGGAGCCTGGAACATGGAAGATTATTTATAGTAAAGATGATAATTTGATATATTTGTACAATGAAATTTTATTTGATATTCTAGATACTAAACTCAATTTGGTTCAAAATATATTCAACGATTCTTTATTAAAAATTTCTTTTTTGGAATGTTTTGTATTTAAGTATCAAATTTCATGCCTAAGTTAATCATAATCTAACAGTAATATCTAATATCTTTTTGTGTATGATAAAGTGTTTAAAGTCTCTAAGATAGTTAAATTTGAAGATTCTTTCTTTATAATTTCTCTTTTTGATGATTAAAATAATAATATTTATTTCTATAATAATATTTATAAAAATTTAAATATCTATACCTCAGATGGAATTTTAAGAAAGAAAATCAATAATATTTAAGAAGAATGCATTTTTTTTAAATATAAAGCAGTATGTAGCTCCTAAAATAGTAAGTTTTTCTTTAAAGCTTTTTATTTTTAATTCTCAACAAATAAAAATATTAGCATATTAGTAAAATTCTGAAAAAATATAAAATCTAAAAAATTATTGTTTAATCTGAAAAATTTAAGATTTTAAAACCTAAATAAAATCTACTAATATGCGAACTGCGATTCAAGCAAATATAATTTTTTATTAAGCTTCAAAAAAGATTTCTTATATTTTAATAAATAGCTTTAAAAATTGCTATTTATCAAATTAAATAAATTAAAGAGAAACTTTCAAGAAATAAAAATTTTTTATCCTCTATTTCCTGATTGAATGATATTTTTAATTTTCACTTCTAAGATTAATTTTTTATATTTAGTTAAAAATTAAAATTTCATTATGTATTTAAAAAAATTAGGTTTTATTTTTATTGACAAGAATACTTTAGCCTTAAATGAGTATTCGTTTGAAAAATTGGATTCTATTGCTTCTTAAAAAATGGTTTATATTGATTACTTAAATTATTTGCTTGTTTTAAATGATGATAGAAATTAAATTTCTATAATAGATATTTCTGCTTAAAGACATATTTTTGATTTATAAGTTAAATAAAATAAAGAATATAAGAATATTATTAAACAGCTTAAAGTTTATGAAAATTTAAGCAATTATGTGATATTTTTAGACTTAATAGGTAATTTATATGTTTCTTCTTTACATAAAACTCCTTCTTTTCAAACTTACATTAATGTTATCTAAGATTTTAAGTATGTAGATATTTTTAGTATAGAGTACTATGATAGCTTATCAAATGATATTTATCTTAATTATAATTATATTATATACAAATTAGATCTTAATTAATTAGGATTAGAGCGTGATCCATAATTAAATGAGCCGTATACTCTGTTTTCTCCAATATAAAAAGATAACTTACAGACAGATTATTTGATTTTAAGTTAAGACAGCCTTATCTTTAGATATTCTTAGCAGAAGATAAAATTTGAGTTATCCATATTAATGAGTTCAAGAATCTTAGATATAAAATACAATTAAAGTGATGATGTTTTAATATTAGGTTTAGAAAATTCAATTTTATTTTATTAATATTATCAATCCTGCAAAAATAATAACTCAGACCCTGATATTTATTAGCTAGACAATATCCAATTCTAGCAGTTTATAATAGATAGTATTGTAATTACTAGTGATTAAAAAATATTGCATTTAAATTTAAAAACAGGTGTTATTAAGAACACGATTTAATTTAATTCTACTCAAACAGTGACTTAATTTAATGTAAATAAGAAACAAGATTTGATCATTGTAGGATTTAATGATGGTTAAGTGCTTTAATATAATTTAACCAGCTAAAATTATTTTTTATATGAAACAAGAAAAGAAGTTTCTCTTAATATTTCAATTATTATCATTGAATTGATTGAAATTTCTGATATTAAATTGTTAGCTTATGTTGTTTCAAATGGTGCTCTTCTTCTTTAAATAGAAATGTTGTAATAATAAGTAATTTAATAAATAGACTTAAGAATTCTGGTTAACGAAGATCCTAGCATTACTTTGTCAAAATTCTTAATTGATCAAAATTATTAAAGATATATATTTTGCTTTAACGGATAGAAAAAAGCTTATATTTGGAATTACTCAAAAAACGAATAAGAGCGAAATTTGTCTTTGCCTAAAATGCAATCTAACTTGAAAATAGAATTAAATTTTCTACTTATTTAGTGTATTTTTTAAATTAATTTGTATTAACTCAATACAAAAATTGAATTTGTTGCATCAATTAAAAAAGATTTCACTTAAGATAGTATTTTGGATTCAAAGCTATTTAATAATAATACTATTGCAATATTTTTAATAGATAGATTCGAACTCTTTATTATTAATGGAGATAAGTTCAATATGATAGCTTAGATTAGTTATTAATACTCTCGATTATTAAATTATTCAATAGATTCTCAGAAAAATGTACTTAGCATATTAGGATTACATTAAGCTGGGGTTTTTGAAAATAAATACAATTTAGATATTTACAAATCAGAAACAGTATCAGAATGCTTTTTTTTTAGCTCGAGTAAGGATTATTAAAATATTATAGAAGAATAAACATATGCTGCTCCTAAATAAAAGGAAATTTAGACAATAAATGGAGTTTCTTTAGTTAATTAAGAGAATTAGTTTATCTACTTCTACTTACAAATACCAAGTGATAATATATAGAATATATTTTTATAAACATCCTCAATAGCAAATAGTCAATAAGTAATGGCACCTTACGATAACTAAAATAATTTTATAGCTCTTTAAAATACTACCTTTGAAAATCTAAGCTAATCTACTTTACAAATTACTAATTTTAGTTTAACCTTCTAAAATAATACAAATTTATTT